ATTCCATGATTATATATATAATCAGTTCCAAAATACACACACACACACACAGGGTTACTAGAGACTCTGTGTGTGTGTGTGTGTGTCATGTGACTGTCCTCATGCTGCCCCGTGTGTCTCCAGGCCTCTGCTGTTCCTGGGGTTGAAGATCTTCTCTCGGTTCGGTGTGTGTGAGTTCCTCAACTGTCCCGAGGCGACGCTGCGCTCGTGGCTTCAGATCCTCGAGGCCAATTATCACTCCAGCAACTCGTACCACAACTCCTCTCACGCCGCGGATGTGCTGCACGCCACAGCTTACTTCCTGTGCAAGGAGCGCGTCAAGGTGAGCACAGACACACACACACACACTGACTCACTCACACACTCTCTCTCACACACACACACACACACACTCTCTCTCTTTCTCTCTCTCTCACACACGCACACTCATTCACTCTCACACACACACACACTTTAAACAGTCACTCCAGGATCTGTGGTCATGTGATCCACAGTTAGCTAGTGTTGTTGACTATGGGATGAGATCCTGTCACACACTTCATGACGCTTCACGTGTGTGTGTGTGTGTGTGTGTGTGTGTGTGTGTGTGTGTGTGTGTGTGTGTTTTTCTCAGCTAAGTCTGGACCCCATAGACGAGGTGGCGGCCCTGATCGCTGCTGCTGTTCATGATGTGGACCATCCGGGCCGCACAAACTCCTTCCTGTGTAACGCAGGAAGTGATCTCGCCATCCTGTACAACGACACCGCAGTGCTAGAGTCGCATCACGCGGCGCTAGCGTTCCAGATCACCACACGAGACGACAAGTGCAACATCTTCAAGAACATGGAGAGGTGATGACACATACAGGATTAAACTCATCAGCTTTACTTGCACTGTTGTTTTTAATTCGATTGCATCATTTGCAATGCATTATGGGATGAGTAGTTCATTCACTCATTAACGATGTAAAGTACAACAGGGTTTGAAATGAACTTTTTCACTCACAGGCTAATTTGGCTACTAAATCTTTAAGTTACCGGCCACTTCTACTAGCCAAAGAAACGAAAAGAAATTAACCAGATTAACTACGTCACAGCTTATATATATATATATTAGGGGTGTAACGATACACAATACATATATTATATATATATATATATATACAGCTCTGGAAAAAATGAAGAGACCACTGCAAATGCTTCTTAAATCAGCCTCTCTACCATAGACTGTAAAAAAATATGGACGTAGTGTCCGTGACGTCACCCGTAGGTTTCTGAAGAGCGTTTTTGAAGCCTAAAGTGGGCGGGGCCGGCCGTCGCCATCTTGGCAGCGCGTCACCTCTCGTCACTACCGGATAACAGAAAATGGGCAAAGAGGCGGGACGTGGGTGGAGCTGAGGTGCTAATGCTATATGCTACTGGCCTTGCGCTAGAGTGACAGCTGATTGAAGAATAAAAGCCAATAGTTCATGTTTTTGCCCTTCGAAATATTATAATAGTTAAAAGACGTAACTAAAAGTGAGACTGTGTATGATGTATTGGTATTCTGCTGTAAAAATGTATTATCATGCAGTAACTTACAATATTGCTCTAAACTTGTGGGTGTGACAGTGATTCATGCACACATGTCAGTCAGCATGGCATCGCACGTCAAGTTCGTAAAGAGCTTTATTCAGTCCATTTTGGCCGCCTCTCAATTTCACAAATGGGTTAAACCAAAGATATTACCTCAGTAGTTCAAGTAAATGCACTAGAAACCCGCGCTCATTCAAGGGTGTGCATCTACTGCATGGACGGAGAGAAAGCACTGACACCTGTAGGATTTTATCTGACGGAACTTTTTATTTAACACTAAAAAGTTAAACAAGCATATCTGTTCCGTGAGAGCATTAGTACCGCATAACGAGTGTGGTCTCTATATCTATAGACGTTTTTAGCAAAGAAATTGTCAGACATCCATTAACGTTGGTGCATGCGAGGAAAACAACTGGAAATACAGCGCCTCTCCATACCAGTCTATGCTCCATACTCGACAACAACGGAATCCAACGGCGTGGGCGAAGGTATAATGCGTGTATGAAATAATCCCGAAAAAAAGCACAAGCACGGCAGAGATGGCAAGAACAGCAGCGGCTGGAATTAGCTGAGAGTGACGCTATCAGACAGCAGACAAACGGCCGCAATCCACCTGTCACTCAAGTGGCCACGCCCTTAATTATGCAGGCTTAATATAATTTAAACGGATGAGTTGTAAAAAAATGTACCCCCCTCACAGTTGTCATAAAGGGCAAAATAAGCTATAAACCAGGGGTGGACGGGGGGTTGGACCGGGGGGACGGGGGGAGGCTCCTGGGGCTGAAGCTGGAGAACAGCCCTTCATCATCGAGAAGCAAGAAGAGCCAGGCTGAGGTTTGCACAACACCAGACGGACTGTGGAGGACTGTGGAGGACTGGAGGACTGTGGAGGACTGGAGGACTGTGGAGGACTGGAGAACTGTGGAGGACTGGAGGACTGTGGAGGACTGGAGGACTGTGGAGGACTGGAGAACTGTGGAGGACTGTGGAGGACTGAAGGACTGTGAAGGACTGTGGAGGACTGGAGGACTGTGGAGGACTGTGGAGGACTGTGAAGGACTGTGGAGGAATGGAGGACTGTGGAGGACTGGAGGACTGTAGAGGACTGTGGAGGACTGTGGAGGACTGAAGGACTGTGGAGGACTGAAGGACTGTGGAGGACTGGAGGACTGTGGAGGACTGGAGGACTGTGAAGGACTGTGGAGGACTGGAGGACTGTGAAGGACTGTGGAGGACTGAAGGACTGTGAAGGACTGTGGAGGACTGAAGGACTGTGGAGGAATGGAGGACTGTGGAGGACTGGAGGACTGTGGAGAACTGGAGGACTATGGAGGACTGTGGAGGACTGGAGGACTGTGGAGGAATGGAGGACTGTGGAGGACTGGAGGACTGTGGAGAACTGGAGGACTGTGGAGGACTGGAGAACTGTGGAGGACTGGAGGACTGTGGAGGACTGGAGGACTGTGGAGGACTGGAGAACTGTGGAGGACTGTGGAGGACTGAAGGACTGTGAAGGACTGTGGAGGACTGGAGGACTGTGGAGGACTGTGGAGGACTGAAGGACTGTGGAGGAATGGAGGACTGTGGAGGACTGGAGGACTGTGGAGAACTGGAGGACTGTGGAGGACTGGAGAACTGTGGAGGACTGGAGGACTGTGGAGGACTGGAGGACTGTGGAGGACTGGAGAACTGTGGAGGACTGTGGAGGACTGAAGGACTGTGAAGGACTGTGGAGGACTGGAGGACTGTGGAGGACTGTGGAGGACTGTGAAGGACTGTGGAGGAATGGAGGACTGTGGAGGACTGGAGGACTGTGGAGGACTGGAGGACTGTGGAGGACTGGAGGACTGTAGAGGACTGGAGGACTGTGGAGGACTGAAGGACTGTGGAGGACTGAAGGACTGTGGAGGACTGGAGGACTGTGGAGGACTGGAGGACTGTGAAGGACTGTGGAGGACTGGAGGACTGTGAAGGACTGTGGAGGACTGAAGGACTGTGAAGGACTGTGGAGGACTGGAGGACTGTGGAGGACTGTGGAGGACTGTGAAGGACTGTGGAGGAATGGAGGACTGTGGAGGACTGGAGGACTGTAGAGGACTGGAGGACTGTGGAGGACTGTGGAGGACTGAAGGACTGTGGAGGACTGAAGGACTGTGGAGGATTGGAGGACTGTGGAGGACTGGAGGACTGTGGAGGACTGTGGAGGACTGGAGGACTGTGGAGGACTGGAGGACTGTGGAGGACTGTGGAGGACTGGAGGACTGTGGAGGACTGGAGGACTGTGGAGGACTGGAGGACTGTGGAGGACTGGAGGACTGTGGAGGACTCTGGAGGACTGTGGAGGACTGTGGAGGACTGGAGGACTGAAGGACTGTGAAGGACTGTGGAGGACTGGAGGACTGTGGAGGACTGTGGAGGACTGTGGAGGACTGTGGAGGACTGGAGAACTGTGGAGGACTGTGGAGGACTGAAGGACTGTGAAGGACTGTGGAGGACTGGAGGACTGTGGAGGACTGGAGAACTGTGGAGGACTGTGGAGGACTGAAGGACTGTGGAGGACTGTGGAGGACTGTGGAGAACTGGAGCACTGAAGGACTGTGGAGGACTGGAGGACTGTGGAGGACTGGAGGACTGTGGAGGACTGGAGGACTGTGGAGGACTGTGGAGGACTGAAGGACTGTGGAGGACTGAAGGACTGTGGAGGACTGGAGGACTGTGGAGGACTGTGGAGGACTGTGGAGGAATGGAGGACTGTGGAGGACTGGAGGACTGTAGAGGACTGGAGGACTGTGGAGGACTGTGGAGGACTGAAGGACTGTGGAGGACTGGAGGACTGTGGAGGACTGGAGGACTGTGGAGGACTGGAGGACTGTGAAGGACTGTGGAGGACTGTGGAGGACTGAAGGACTGTGGAGGACTGTGGAGGACTGGAGGACTGTGGAGGACTGTGGAGGACTGAAGGACTGTGGAGGACTGTGGAGGACTGAAGGACTCTGGAGGACTGGAGGACTGTGGAGGACTGGAGGACTGTGGAGGACTGTGGAGGACTGGAGGACTATGGAGGACTGTGGAGGACTGGAGGACTGGAGGACTGGAGGACTGTGGAGGACTGTGGAGGACTGTGGAGGACTGGAGGACTGTGGAGGACTGTGGAGGACTGGAGGACTGTGGAGGACTGTGGAGGACTGGAGGACTGTGGAGGACTGGAGGACTGTGGAGGACTGTGGAGGACTGGAGGACTGTGGAGGACTGTGGAGGACTGTGGAGCTATGGAGGACTGGAGGACTGTGGAGGACTGGAGGACTGTGGAGGACTGTGGAGGACTGGAGGACTGTGGAGGACTGGAGGACTGTGGAGGACTGGAGGACTGTGGAGGACTGTGGAGGACTGGAGGACTGTGGAGGACTGGAGGACTGTGGAGAACTGGAGGACTGTGGAGGACTGGAGGACTGGAGAACTGTGGAGGACTGGAGGACTGGAGGACTGGAGGACTGTGGAGGACTGGAGGACTGGAGGACTCTGGAGAACTGGAGGACTGGAGGACTGGAGGACTCTGGAGGACTGGAGGACTGGAGGACTCTGGAGAACTGGAGGACTGGAGGACTGGAGGACTCTGGAGAACTGGAGGACTGTGGAGGACTGGAGGACTGTGGAGAACTGGAGGACTGGAGGACTGGAGGACTGGAGGACTCTGGAGAACTGGAGGACTGGAGGACTGGAGGACTCTGGAGAACTGGAGGACTGTGGAGAACTGGAGGACTGGAGGACTGGAGGACTGGAGGACTGGAGGACTGGAGGACTCTGGAGAACTGGAGGACTGGAGGACTGGAGGACTCTGGAGAACTGGAGGACTGGAGGACTGGAGGACTCTGGAGAACTGGAGGACTGGAGGACTGGAGGACTCTGGAGAACTGGAGGACTCTGGAGAACTGGAGGACTGTGGAGAACTGGAGGACTGTGGAGGACTGGAGGACTCTGGAGGACTGGAGGACTGGAGGACTCTGGAGAACTGGAGGACTGGAGGACTGGAGGACTCTGGAGAACTGGAGGACTGGAGGACTGGAGGACTCTGGAGAACTGGAGGACTGGAGGACTGGAGGACTCTGGAGAACTGGAGGACTGTGGAGGACTGGAGGATGGCCGTCTTCTGTGAGTCCAGTCTCAGCGGCCCAACACCTGCTCGTCTCAGGGAGACCCGGAGAGGCCACAGTGCTCTCTTCATTCTTTCCAGAGCTGGAAATATAAAATGTGGATTTCATACATTCATTTGTTATTCAAACAAAGTCCTGTCATCAGTATCTCCTCTTCCTCTCTCCTCCTCTTCCTCCTCTCTCCTCCTCTTCCTCCTCTTCCTCTCTCCTCTTCCTCTCTCCTCTTCCTCTCTCCTCCTCTTCCTCCTCTCTCCTCTTCCTCTTCCTCCTCCTCCTCCTCTTCCTCTTCCAAACATGTGTTTTAGGAGGACAGAGCAACAGTTCAAAGAACATCACAAAAATTTAGGATGTTGGTAAATAACAATTGCTTTTGTTCACCAAATGCTTTTGAATCTTCTTTTTTTTTATGCGCTGTTATTTGTAGCGTAGTGACGAGTGTGTTCAAGTCAGCAGAGATGAGCAGATTCTGTGCAATACTCTGTGTTTAATATATAATGACTCAAGAGTATTTGCTCTAAATCTACAGATTTGTCTCTCACGAACGTCCAGCAAACTGAGTAAACATCAGTGACGCCAAACTGGCTCCAGATCTGACAGTCCTCAAACAGTGTATTTTAGCGTTGAACACTAGCAAAGTCCTTTTAGGAAAGTCATGCCACTCGGCCGCCATCTTGGCAACGCCTCCGGGCAGCTATTTCGGACTAACAAGACCAGGCTCCTATCTAAATGAATGGGCAGAGAGTCAGAACTGCACTTTCACTGGTCACTGGGACATAAAAACTGCATGTATAGAAACAGCAGTAAAATATGATAAAAATCGCTGAAAAAGTTTGTTGACTGCTCCAAAATAAGGTTTAAAACGCCTTTTTCCCCACAGGTTATACTTTTACTACGCTTGCGCAAGGGTTCACGACACCAACTTCATTTACGTCTCTACCCAGAATGCCGGTGTTGTGCTCTACAGTACATACTTAGAATGTAAGGTAACATATTTGTGGTCGATATAAAATGCTTTAACTACTGTAACAAGGTTCAGATGTTATGGGAAGAAGGAGGCAGGAACCGGCGAACATTCAACCATTTTAATAAATAAAGAAATACAAAAATGGAAGTATGCCAGCAGCCCCGGGCGAGCTGCTGGCCACACAAAACAGAAACAAAACACAACATAAAATCAGGCCTGTTCCTCTCTCGATCTCCATGTCGTCGCTCCTCCTTTTATGCCTCCGCTCCTCCGTGAGAGACACGAGACCGATGCGTCGCGCAGGTGCCGCTCATCAGTAATCCCGCCACCGGCCTCGCGCCGCTCTCTCACGGCCCTCGTCCTCGGCCTGCTCGCCACTACTACCTTGGTAGTCCAGTGTCTTCGCGTTGTTATCACCCTCTTCCATGTGGATTCCATCTGATCTTGCACACAACACCATGGCACAAAACAACTCGCTGTCGCCAAATCGTCTCCGCTGTCGCAAACCTCAACTGTGCGCATGCGTCAGTGGAACCAGACGATAGGCTTAAATGTTTCCCGGCTTGACTGTTAAAAGCAGACGATTGGTTTCCAGCGGGAGGGGCGGGACATGTGCAGACAACCGCCATCTTTGACGTTACGGGTTTTCCCTATATAGTTGTATTAAGGATTGATGAAGTGGCATGTCTCTATATAAATAGTCTCTGACACTAGTGACACACACACACTCTCTCTCACACAGGAACGAGTACCGCACGCTCCGCCAGGCCGTCATCGACATGGTTCTCGCCACTGAAATGACCAAACACTTCGAGCACGTCAACAAGTTCGTCAACAGCATCAACAAACCGCTGGCGGCACTGGAGGAGAACGAGGTGAGACACACAGACACACACACACGCACGCACGTACACGCTCATACACACACACACATACACAGATACACACAGTCTCTCACTCCAGCGCTTTACACTCATGCTGAGATACACAGAGGAATCGAAGAGAGGAAGTATCTGAACACGTATCCGATTCCTGATTGTATATATGTATATAGATATGTACACATTTTGTATATCTTGGTGTTTCAATACAACACATGAAATTATTAATCAAACGTGTGTGTGTGTGTAGGGCAGCGGAGACGAGGACTCTGTGAAGAACATCCTCACGGCTCCAGAGAACCGGATGCTGGTGAAGCGGATGTTGATCAAGTGTGCCGACATCTCGAACCCGTGCCGCCCGCTGGAGCTGTGTGTGGAGTGGGCCGGACGCATCTCAGAGGAGTACTTTGCTCAGGTGTGTGTGTGTGTGTGTGTGTGTGAGCAGCAGAAGCTCAGTGTGTGTGTGTGTGTGTGTGTGTGTTTGCAGACTGATGAGGAGAAGCAGCAGAAGCTCAGTGTGTGTGTGTGTGTGTGTGTTTACAGACGGATGAAGAGAAGCAGCAGAAGCTCAGTGTGTGTGTGTGTGTGTGTGTGTGTGTGTGTGTGTGTTTGTGTTTGCAGACGGATGAGGAGAAGCAGCAGAAGCTCAGTGTGTGTGTGTGTGTGTGTGTGTTTGTGTTTGCAGACGGATGAGGAGAAGCAGCAGAAGCTCAGTGTGTGTGTGTGTGTGTGTGTGTGTTTACAGACGGATGAAGAGAAGCAGCAGAAGCTCAGTGTGTGTGTGTGTGTGTGTGTGTGAGCAGCAGAAGCTCAGTGTGTGTGTGTGTGTGTGTGTGTTTGTGTTTGCAGACGGATGAGGAGAAGCAGCAGAAGCTCAGTGTGTGTGTGTGTGTGTGTGTGTGTGTGAGCAGCAGAAGCTCAGTGTGTGTGTGTGTGTGTGTGTGTGTGTTTGCAGACTGATGAGGAGAAGCAGCAGAAGCTCAGTGTGTGTGTGTGTGTGTGTGTGTGTGTGTGTGTGTTTGCAGACTGATGAGGAGAAGCAGCAGAAGCTCAGTGTGTGTGTGTGTGTGTGTGTGTGTGAGCAGCAGAAGCTCAGTGTGTGTGTGTGTGTGTGTGTGTGTGAGCAGCAGAAGCTCAGTGTGTGTGTGTGTGTGTGTGTGTGTGTGTGTGTGTGTGTGTGTGTGTGTGTGTGTTTGTGTTTGCAGACGGATGAGGAGAAGCAGCAGAAGCTCAGTGTGTGTGTGTGTGTGTGTGTGTTTACAGACGGATAAAGAGAAGCAGCAGAAGCTCAGTGTGTGTGTGTGTGTGTGTGTGTGTGTGTGTGTGTGTGTGTGTTTACAGACGGATGAGGAGAAGCAGCAGAAGCTCAGTGTGTGTGTGTGTGTGTGTGTGTGTGTGTGTGTGTGTGTGTGTTTACAGACGGATGAGGAGAAGCAGCAGAAGCTCAGTGTGTGTGTGTGTGTGTGTGTGTGTGTGTGTGTGTGTGTTTACAGACGGATGAGGAGAAGCAGCAGAAGCTCAGTGTGTGTGTGTGTGTGTGTGTGTGTTTACAGACGGATGAGGAGAAGCAGCAGAAGCTCAGTGTGTGTGTGTGTGTGTGTGTGTGTGTGTGTGTGTTTACAGACGGATGAGGAGAAGCAGCAGAAGCTCAGTGTGTGTGTGTGTGTGTGTGTGTGTGTGTTTGCAGACAGATGAGGAGAAGCAGCAGAAGCTCAGTGTGTGTGTGTGTGTGTGTGTGTGTGTTTGCAGACGGATGAGGAGAAGCAGCAGAAGCTTAGTGTGTGTGTGTGTGTGTGTGTGTGTGTGTTTGCAGACAGATGAGGAGAAGCAGCAGAAGCTCAGTGTGTGTGTGTGTGTGTGTGTGTGTGTGTGTGTTTGCAGACGGATGAGGAGAAGCAGCAGAAGCTCAGTGTGTGTGTGTGTGTGTGTGTTTACAGACGGATGAGGAGAAGCAGCAGAAGCTCAGTGTGTGTGTGTGTGTGTGTGTGTTTACAGACGGATGAGGAGAAGCAGCAGAAGCTCAGTGTGTGTGTGTGTGTGTGTGTGTTTACAGACGGATGAGGAGAAGCAGCAGAAGCTCAGTGTGTGTGTGTGTGTGTGTGTGTGTGTGTGTGTGTGTGTGTGTGTGTGTGTGTGTGTTTGCAGACGGATGAGGAGAAGCAGCAGAAGCTCAGTGTGTGTGTGTGTGTGTGTGTGTTTACAGACGGATGAGGAGAAGCAGCAGAAGCTCAGTGTGTGTGTGTGTGTGTGTGTGTGTGTGTGTGTTTACAGACGGATGAGGAGAAGCAGCAGAAGCTCAGTGTGTGTGTGTGTGTGTGTGTGTGTGTGTTTACAGACGGATGAGGAGAAGCAGCAGAAGCTCAGTGTGTGTGTGTGTGTGTGTGTGTTTACAGACGGATGAGGAGAAGCAGCAGAAGCTCAGTGTGTGTGTGTGTGTGTGTGTGTGTGTGTGTGTGTTTACAGACGGATGAGGAGAAGCAGCAGAAGCTCAGTGTGTGTGTGTGTGTGTGTGTGTGTGTGTTTACAGACGGATGAGGAGAAGCAGCAGAAGCTCAGTGTGTGTGTGTGTGTGTGTGTGTGTGTTTACAGACGGATGAGGAGAAGCAGCAGAAGCTCAGTGTGTGTGTGTGTGTGTGTGTGTGTGTGTTTACAGACGGATGAGGAGAAGCAGCAGAAGCTCAGTGTGTGTGTGTGTGTGTGTGTGTGTGTTTACAGACGGATGAGGAGAAGCAGCAGAAGCTCAGTGTGTGTGTGTGTGTGTTTACAGACGGATGAGGAGAAGCAGCAGAAGCTCAGTGTGTGTGTGTGTGTGTGTGTGTTTACAGACGGATGAGGAGAAGCAGCAGAAGCTCAGTGTGTGTGTGTGTGTGTGTGTGTGTGTGTGTGTTTGCAGACGGATGAGGAGAAGCAGCAGAAGCTCAGTGTGTGTGTGTGTGTGTGTGTGTGTGTGTGTTTACAGACGGATGAGGAGAAGCAGCAGAAGCTCAGTGTGTGTGTGTGTGTGTGTGTGTGTTTACAGACGGATGAGGAGAAGCAGCAGAAGCTCAGTGTGTGTGTGTGTGTGTGTGTGTGTGTTTGCAGACGGATGAGGAGAAGCAGCAGAAGCTCAGTGTGTGTGTGTGTGTGTGTGTGTTTACAGACGGATGAGGAGAAGCAGCAGAAGCTCAGTGTGTGTGTGTGTGTGTGTGTGTTTACAGACGGATGAGGAGAAGCAGCAGAAGCTCAGTGTGTGTGTGTGTGTGTGTGTGTTTACAGACGGATGAGGAGAAGCAGCAGAAGCTCAGTGTGTGTGTGTGTGTGTGTGTGTGTGTGTGTTTGCAGACGGATGAGGAGAAGCAGCAGAAGCTCAGTGTGTGTGTGTGTGTGTGTGTGTGTGTGTGTGTGTGTGTGTGTGTGTGTGTGTTTACAGACGGATGAGGAGAAGCAGCAGAAGCTCAGTGTGTGTGTGTGTGTGTGTGTGTGTTTGCAGACGGATGAGGAGAAGCAGCAGAAGCTCAGTGTGTGTGTGTGTGTGTGTGTGTGTGTGTGTTTACAGACGGATGAGGAGAAGCAGCAGAAGCTCAGTGTGTGTGTGTGTGTGTGTGTGTGTGTGTGTGTGTGTGTTTGCAGACGGATGAGGAGAAGCAGGAGAAGCTCAGTGTGTGTGTGTGTGTGTGTGTGTGTGTGTGTTTACAGACGGATGAGGAGAAGCAGCAGAAGCTCAGTGTGTGTGTGTGTGTGTGTGTGTGTTTACAGACGGATGAGGAGAAGCAGCAGAAGCTCAGTGTGTGTGTGTGTGTGTGTGTGTGTGTGTTTGCAGACGGATGAGGAGAAGCAGCAGAAGCTCAGTGTGTGTGTGTGTGTGTGTGTGTTTACAGACGGATGAGGAGAAGCAGCAGAAGCTCAGTGTGTGTGTGTGTGTGTGTGTGTTTACAGACGGATGAGGAGAAGCAGCAGAAGCTCAGTGTGTGTGTGTGTGTGTGTGTGTTTACAGACGGATGAGGAGAAGCAGCAGAAGCTCAGTGTGTGTGTGTGTGTGTGTGTGTGTGTGTGTTTGCAGACGGATGAGGAGAAGCAGCAGAAGCTCAGTGTGTGTGTGTGTGTGTGTGTGTGTGTGTGTGTGTGTGTGTGTGTGTGTTTACAGACGGATGAGGAGAAGCAGCAGAAGCTCAGTGTGTGTGTGTGTGTGTGTGTGTGTTTGCAGACGGATGAGGAGAAGCAGCAGAAGCTCAGTGTGTGTGTGTGTGTGTGTGTGTGTGTGTGTTTACAGACGGATGAGGAGAAGCAGCAGAAGCTCAGTGTGTGTGTGTGTGTGTGTGTGTGTGTGTGTTTACAGACGGATGAGGAGAAGCAGCAGAAGCTCAGTGTGTGTGTGTGTGTGTGTGTGTTTACAGACGGATGAGGAGAAGCAGCAGAAGCTCAGTGTGTGTGTGTGTGTGTGTGTGTGTGTGTTTACAGACGGATGAGGAGAAGCAGCAGAAGCTCAGTGTGTGTGTGTGTGTGTGTGTGTGTGTGTGTGTGTGTGTGTGTGTGTGTGTGTGTGTGTGTGTGTGTGTGTGTGTGTGTGTGTGTTTACAGACGGATGAGGAGAAGCAGCAGAAGCTCAGTGTGTGTGTGTGTGTGTGTGTGTGTGTGTGTGTGTGTGTGTGTGTGTGTGTGTGTGTGTGTGTGTGTGTGTGTGTGTTTACAGACGGATGAGGAGAAGCAGCAGAAGCTCAGTGTGTGTGTGTGTGTGTGTGTGTGTGTGTTTACAGACGGATGAGGAGAAGCAGCAGAAGCTCAGTGTGTGTGTGTGTGTGTGTGTGTGTGTGTTTACAGACGGATGAGGAGAAGCAGCAGAAGCTCAGTGTGTGTGTGTGTGTGTGTGTGTGTGTGTTTACAGACGGATGAGGAGAATTGAATTGAAATATCTTTAATGTCCCCTAGGGGCAATTTAGTTCACAGCTGATAGCCAACATATACACATTCACACACAAACAGATAAAAACATGAGATAATAAATAGATAAAAACATAAGAACATATACCTATAGGTTGTTGAGAAACCCAACAGCTAATGGTACAAATGATTTTAAATATCTGTTGGATCTGGCGCGTTTTCGGTAGGTATACCTCCTTCCTGATGGTAGGAGGCAGAACTCAAAGTGTAGTGGGTGAGTGATGTTAGCTAAAATGGCCATTGCCCTCTGTGTAGCTCTGGCCTTGTACATATGCTCAATGCTGTTCAGATCAGTACCAATTATCTTTCGACATATGTTTACAATTTTTCCCAATCTGTTTTTGTTAATTACACTCAAATTGCCAAACCAGCAGATCATAGCAAAGGTTAAAATTGACTCAACAAAAGATGAATAAAAAGCTTTCAGAAGGGTTCTATCAACGTTAAACCCATTCAACTTTCTTAAAAAGAAAAGTCTCTGATTAGCTTTTTTGCATATATAGTCTGTATTGGTATCGAAGTTCAATTTATCATCTAAAATGGTGCCCAAATACTTGTATTGTCTTACCACATCTAACTCTATACCATTAATAAAAGTTGAAGCTGTGGTTGGAGGATTACGGCGAAAGTCGATACACATATCTTTAGTTTTAGAAACATTGAGTTGGAGATATGAGTCATTGCACCATGAGACAAAATTGTCCAACACTGGTCCATGGCCCTCCTCGTGATCCTGCAGAAGACTAATTATCACAGAATCATCAGCATACTTAATGATATGCCTTGATTCAACCGTACTCCGACAGTCATTGGTGTAGAGCACAAATAAAAGTGGTGACAAAACACACCCTTGAGGTGACCCTGTTGAACCTATGAGGGCCTTGGATAAAGTGTTATTTACCCGGGTCCTCTGTGACCTCATAGTTAGAAAATCAACCAGCCAGCATATTGTACCAGGGTCAATATTAGGAAATTGCAATAGTCTCTGAGCAAGAATATGGGGCTGCATACAGTTGAACGCAGATGAAAAATCAACAAAACACAAGCGTGCATGTGTCTTCTTGCCCTCTAAATGTCCAGTAACAAAGTCCAGCAGTGTTGCTGTGGCATCCTCAACCCCCTTACTTGGTAGATATGCAAACTGCAATGGATCAATCATGCTCTGAGTCATACAAAGCAGACTCCTCCTCACAATACGCTCAAAACCCTTCATCACCAAAGATGTCAGAGCCACAGGACGATAGTCATTCAGCACCTTTGGAGAGGGGACTTTTGCCACTGGAACCACTACTGATTCTTTCCACTTCCCTGGCACTTTTCTTTCTGATAGTGAGAGTTGAAAAATAAATGTAAAAATACTGGTTAGAAACGGAGCACAATTTTTAAGCAATCGGCCGCTGATACAGTCAGGCCCCTGGCTCTTCCTTATACTCGTCTGCTCAAGAGTCTTCCAGACATCTGTCTCATCAATCAAAATCTGACTTCCCTCAGCCTCAATTCTGAATTCAGCCAGATCATCATTAAAATCATGGGAGTCAAATCTTGAATAAAACTGATTCAGCTCCTCCACTAAATCAGAGTCAGGTTTGTCAGATGTAGCTACCCTTTTTTTTTTCTTATCACTCATTCCCACCATAGACTTAATCCCTCTCCAAGCACAGTAAGCATTGCCGTTCTTTAGCTGATCTTCCACCTTGTCCTTAAACTGGCTTTTGGCCAGTTTTATTTCATTCTTCACCAACCTCTGAGTCTCTTTTTTTTTTTTTGTATATCATTCTGTTGAAAAGCTATTTTTTTCTTATTAAGAGCGTGTTTAAGTGATCTACTCACCCAGGGTTTATTATTGGGGTATAATGTAATCGTCTTTGTGGGAATAATCATTTGCTCACAAAATTTAATGTAACTTGTCACAGTGAAGGTCAATTCATCCAGATCAGTGCATGAGTCCTTGAAAACATCCCAATTGGTACTATAAAAACATCCATTCAGTTCTTTAATGGCACCATCTGTCCACACAGAGACCTCTTTACGCTCAACTTTGCCTCTCTTCAGGGCTGATTGATAGATCGGGGCCAAAAAGACACAGCTATGGTCAGAAGACCCCAGGGGTGACATTGCATAAGATTTATAGGCATCTTTAACTGTACCATAGCACAGATCTAGAGTTTTTCCATGTCTGGTAGGACAGCTTACATATTGATAAAAGTGCCCAAGATGTTTCTTAAGACTACACATGTTAAAATCACCAAGTATAAAATGCGGAGCATCGGGAGAAATATTTTGTAAACGGTGAACAAGTTTGGTGATTTCAGTTGCCGCATCTGTCAAATTGGCTCTTGGGTGGATATAGACCAGTGTAATAAAAATCTGAGGAATTTCTCGTGGCAGATAAAAGGGACGCAGTGAGGTAGATAAAAGTTCGATATGTGGGCTACAGATAGATTCTCTTACTATGATGGTTTTGCACCAGCGAGAGTTGACGTATAAACACACGCCCCCTCCTTGTGTTTTGCCAGTCAGCTGTGCGTCTCTATCTAACCTAATAGGCTGGCCAAAGCCATCGATTTCAAGATCCTGGCCCAAGTCATGTTCTTTTAACCAAGTCTCAGTCAAAGCTATGACGCAAGCATTCTTAAACTCCGGTATGAATTTAACATTTGCCTGCAATTCGTCCACTTTGTTCCTTAATGATTGCACGTTTCCAAGGATGATCGAGGGAAGTGGCAGGCGGCGCAATCCAGCTCTGCGTAGCCTCCGTCGCACTCCTCCCCTCCGGCCACGCTTTCTCACCCGACCCGCTGCTGACACCCACGATTCGGCGACAGGCCCACGCCGTCTTCCGTATGCTCCACTACCTCGCTCGTGGATCCTCACCCCCATCTCCGTCTGTCGATCAAGGCTAGCAGACCCGCACCTGCGAATCTCTGGTGGAATTTCATCGAAAAAAATCTGCGGGGCTGAACCATTGCATTGGATGAGGAAATCCCGGCTGTACTGCAGTTTATGAGACGAATTGGTTTGACGATGGTTCACAACAGTCCCAAGAGTAAGCATGCTCATAAGCAACGTGTTGAACAAATCCATGTTAATTCCTAAATATTGGAATACTCTTATATTCCCACAGATGTGATAGACAAGATACAAAAAAAAAACATACGACAGATACGAACGCACACGGCTACTGCTGTATGTCGCCACCGCAAGGCAGCGCCAACATGTGGTCTATGGTAACTTCCATAGAGGGTAGCAGAAGCTCAGTGTGTGTGTGTGTGTGTGTGTGTGTGTGTTTGCAGACGGATGAGGAGAAGCAGCAGAAGCTCAGTGTGTGTGTGTGTGTGTGTGTGTGTGTGTGAAGCAGCAGAAGCTCAGTGTGTGTGTGTGTGTGTGTTTGCAGACGGATGAGGAGAAGCAGCAGAAGCTCAGTGTGTGTGTGTGTGTGTGTGTTTGCAGACGGATGAGGAGAAGCAGCAGAAGCTCAGTGTGTGTGTGTGTGTGTGTGTGTGTGTGTGTGTGTGTGTTTACAGACGGATGAGGAGAAGCAGCAGAAGCTCAGTGTGTGTGTGTGTGTGTGTGTTTGCAGACGGATGAGGAGAAGCAGCAGAAGCTCAGTGTGTGTGTGTGTGTGTGTGTTTGCAGACGGATGAGGAGAAGCAGCAGAAGCTCAGTGTGTGTGTGTGTGTGTGTGTTTGCAGACGGATGAGGAGAAGCAGCAGAAGCTCAGTGTGTGTGTGTGTGTGTGTGTGTGTGAAGCAGCAGAAGCTCAGTGTGTGTGTGTGTGTGTGTGTGTTTACAGACGGATGAGGAGAAGCAGCAGAAGCTCAGTGTGTGTGTGTGTGTGTGTGTGTTTACAGACGGATGAGGAGAAGCAGCAGAAGCTCAGTGTGTGTGTGTGTGTGTGTGTGTGTGTGTGTGTGTGTGTGTGTTTGCAGACGGATGAGGAGAAGCAGCAGAAGCTCAGTGTGTGTGTGTGTGTGTGTGTTTACAGACGGATGAGGAGAAGCAGCAGAAGCTCAGTGTGTGTGTGTGTGTGTGTGTGTGTGTGTGTGTTTACAGACGGATGAGGAGAAGCAGCAGAAGCTCAGTGTGTGTGTGTGTGTGTGTGTGTGTGTTTGCAGACGGATGAGGAGAAGCAGCAGAAGCTCAGTGTGTGTGTGTGTGTGTGTGTGTTTACAGACGGATGAGGAGAAGCAGCAGAAGCTCAGTGTGTGTGTGTGTGTGTGTGTGTGTGTGTGTGTGTGTGTGTGTGTGTGTGTGTGTGTGTGTTTACAGACGGATGAGGAGAAGCAGCAGAAGCTCAGTGTGTGTGTGTGTGTGTGTGTTTACAGACGGATGAGGAGAAGCAGCAGAAGCTCAGTGTGTGTGTGTGTGTGTGTGTGTGTGTGTGTGTGTGTGTTTACAGACGGATGAGGAGAAGCAGCAGAAGCTCAGTGTGTGTGTGTGTGTGTGTGTGTGTGTGTGTGTTTACAGACGGATGAGGAGAAGCAGCAGAAGCTCAGTGTGTGTGTGTGTGTGTGTGTGTGTGTGTGTGTGTGTTTACAGACGGATGAGGAGAAGCAGCAGAAGCTCAGTGTGTGTGTGTGTGTGTTTACAGACGGATGAGGAGAAGCAGCAGAAGCTCAGTGTGTGTGTGTGTGTGTGTGTGTGTGTGTGTGTTTACAGACGGATGAGGAGAAGCAGCAGAAGCTCAGTGTGTGTGTGTGTGTGTTTACAGACGGATGAGGAGAAGCAGCAGAAGCTCAGTGTGTGTGTGTGTGTGTGTGTGTGTTTACAGACGGATGAGGAGAAGCAGCAGAAGCTCAGTGTGTGTGTGTGTGTGTGTGTGTGTTTACAGACGGATGAGGAGAAGCAGCAGAAGCTCAGTGTGTGTGTGTGTGTGTGTGTGTTTACAGACGGATGAGGAGAAGCAGCAGGGTTTGCCGGTGGTGATGCCCGTGTTCGATCGCAACACCTGCAGTATTCCTAAATCCCAGATCTCCTTCATCGATTACTTCATCACGGACATGTTCGACGCCTGGGACGGTAAAGCAGCGCCTCAGATTGAGCGCGTTCTCGTTTAATTATCGGCCAGACGATGATGATTTATATATAGTGTGAATCCTGCAGCTTTCATCAGACCAACCATTTCTGTCAGTCATGTTTCAAAATAAATCATAATTTAGCTAAAACAGGCCTTGAACTACATTTTTACGGTCTTGATCATGTTGAATGTAATTGGCTCTAATGACTGTCCAGCTGAAGTCCATCCTGCTGATCCTTGTTTCACGATATCGATATTCATCACAATAGAGTTATTTATCTCATTTCTGTTATTGAAAATAAGAAAAAAGAAACAAATTACAATCAATACAACAAAATTCTGAGTAAACAAGTTTGTCAGGTAGATGTAAGAATGTAAAAATTAAATATTGCCTAGTCTTCACTGTATGAATTAAATATAAATGTATTCTTATTAAAGCTCAAAGGGATTTCTTTGCTTGGGAACATAAACCTGTAGCTGTAGTTTGCCTTTTATTGCCTTTTAAGTTATAAACACTTAACCAAGTTTAGTGTTTTGTTTTTCAATTATATTTAAAATATTTAAATATATTATCCTCTTGATGATTTAATCGAACTCGTAGGGTCATCAAAAACAAAGATCCCCTGCAGACGTCACTTCTGGACACTACTGTATATATAAATATACAGTTGCAACTGAAATCATTTAACCCCCATTGCAAATCAGCTTCATTGGCAAAATGTACAAACTTTCAGCTGTTTGCAATGAACAAATCAAACAACAGTAATTAAAATAGCTCAACACAACAACTGTGTCAAGTGGTTTCCCCAAATTTAACTGAAAATGCCACTTTTAATGACTTCTGCAGTCTCAAAGTGATTCAACCCCCTGATATAATCCCTCAGAACAGCACAGATCTGCAGAACAGGTGTTGCCTCACTAATCAAGGGCCTCATGAGCTGCACCAGGTGTGCTTGAGCTAGAACACATGAAATTTCTGAACTGGAGAGGTTTGTCGAGTGTCACGTTTGACTGCATGTTAGAAATATGGCAAAATAATGGTCCAAAAAGTTAAGAGAAGATTTCATCGCCCTTCACAAACAAGGAACAGGATACAAATAGATAGCGAAGGCACTAAATGTTCCTAGAGACGCCGTTGGACGCATAGTTTGCGAGTTGAAAGTTAAAGGATCAGTGGTTACACTCCCTGGACGGGCAGGAGGAAGATATCAGCGGCTCAGTAAACCCTGGAGTGACGGCAGAAGATCTGGTGGCCACAGACACTGATGTTCAGCTGCACAGTAAAGCTCGTACTAAACGCATCAGAGCTCCAGGACTACACCACTGCTGACACAAACGCACTAGAAAAGTGCTCAAAATCATATAAATAAGCCACAGAAGTTTTGAGATTCTGTTCTATGGAGCGATGGAGCAATACTGGAGCTTCTCGAATTTGGGGAAACCACTTTAAACATTTGTTGTGTTGTGTAGTTTGCCTTTTATTGCCAAATAATTTTGTCAATCAACACCTTATGATGATTTAATCGAACTCGTAGGGTCATTAAAAACAAAGATCCCCTGCGGACGTCACTTTTGGAAACTACTGTATATATATATATATAATTGATTGATATATTTGTGTGTGTGAATGTTGATATGAAGTGAACCGATGTGTGTTTCTCTGCTTCCAGCGTTTGCCGATCTGCCCAATCTAATGCAGCATCTGGACAACAACTTCAAATACTGGAAGGGTTTGGATGAGCAGAAGCTGCGGAGCCTGAGGCCGCCGGAGTGACGGGCGAGACGCGGGCGGGACACGGCTCCTCCGGCTCGGCACTCTACTCACGTTTTATCATCAATAACTAATGATGAGAATCATGTTCGCTAATAAATATCCTGAATCGAGAAGCGATCGGACGCCAAAGCCGACAGGACTGAGGCTGTTCTAGACTGAGGCGCTCGCTCTCCTGAAGACTTCCCAGCGTCCCCTCTGAGCTCGCTCTCCTGACGAGACTGCTGCCTTATTTTATACGCTATATTTATACGCAGTGCTGACCCGCGACGGACATCTGCAGTTTTTAACACACTCATGTTATATGAAGTAAATCTCAATATTTTTATAGATACTGAATTTTACACTGGAAGGATGTAAAGCATCTCAGACAGGTGTGAGAGACGATCGCTTCTCTTCCCGTCCAGCGATTCCCTCCGTCTTTCCATCAGGGCTCGATCATTCCCAGAGAGAGATGACGGGATTTACTCGACACGGAGAAACCTGTGCTTCATTTAGTCTCAAATCCAGATCCTCTTCCTGCAGACGAGCGCAGACGCAGACGAACGCAGACAGACGTTGACTCAAACGAACGTTGACACAGAAGAACGTTGACGGAGATGAGCGCAGACAGACGTTGACTCAGACGAACGTTGACACAGATGAGCGCAGACAGACGTTGACACAGACGAACGTTGACGCAGACGAACGTTGACTCAGAAGAACGTTGACTCAGAAGAACGTTGACTCAGACGAACGTTGACTCAGACGAACGTTGACTCAGACGAACGTTGACGGAGATGAGCGCAGATGGACGTTGATGCAGACGAGTGCAGACGAACGTTGACCAAGACGGAGCGTAGACGCAGGCAAACGTTGACTCAGACGAACACAGACGAGCGCAGACGCAGAAAAACGTTGACTCAGAGGAGTGCAGACGAACGTTAACGCAGACGAGCGTAGACTCAGGTGAACGTTGACGCAGACAGACATTAGCGCAGACGCAGACAAACGTTGACTCAGATGAATGCAGACGAGTGCAGATGAACGTTGACTCAGACAAATGCAGATGAGCGCAGACGCAGACAAACGTTGACTCAGATGAACGCAGACGAGTGCAGACGAACGTTGACGCAGACGAGCGCAGACGCAGACAAACGTTGACTCAGATGAACACAGACGAGTGCAGACGGACGTTGACGCAGACGAGCGCAGACGCAGACAAACGTTAATTCAGATGAACGCAGACGCAGACGGGTGCAGACGAACGTTGACGCAGACGAGCGCAGACGCAGACAAACGTTGACTCAGATGAACGCAGACGAGTGCAGACGGACGTTGACGCAGACGAGCGCAGACGCAGACAAACGTTGACTCAGATGAACGCAGACGCAGACGGGTGCAGACGAACGTTGACGCAGACGAGCGCAGACGCAGACAAACGTTGACTCAGATGAACGCAGACGCAGACGAGTGCAGATGGACGTTGACGCAGACGAGCGCAGACGCAGACAAACGTTGACTCAGATGAACGCAGACGAGTGCAGATGGGCGTTAACGCAGACGAGCGCAGACGCAGACGAACGTTGACGCAGACGAGCGCAGACGCAGACAAACGTTGACTCGGATGAACACAGACGCAGACGAGTGCAGATGGACGTTAACGCAGACGCAGACGAACGTTGACGCAGACGAGCGCAGACGCAGACAAACGTTGACTCAGATGAACGCAGACGAGTGCAGATGGACGTTAATGCAGACGCAGACAAACGTTGACTCAGATGAACGCAGACGAGTGCAGACGGACGTTGACGCAGACAAGCGCAGACGCAGAAAAACGTTGACTCAGATGAACGCAGACGGGTACAGACGAACTTTGACGCAGACGAGCGCAGACGCAGACAAACGTTGACTCAGATGAACGCAGACGCAGACGAGTGCAGATGGACGTTAACGCAGACGAGCGCAGACGCAGTCAAACGTTGACTCAGATGAGCGCAGACGCAGACAAACGTTGAATCAGATGAGCGCAGACGCAGACGAGTGCAGATGGACGTTAACGCAGACGAGCGCAGACGCAGACAAACGTTGACTCAGATGAGCGCAGACGCAGACAAACGTTGACTCAGATGAACGCAGACGCAGACGAGTGCAGATGGACGTTAACGCAGACGAGCGCAGACGCAGACAAACGTTGACTCAGATGAGCGCAGACGCAGACAAACGTTGACTCAGATGAACGCAGACGCAGACGAGTGCAGATGGACGTTAACGCAGACGAGCGCAGACGCAGACAAACGTTGACTCAGATGAGCGCAGACGCAGACAAACGTTGACTCAGATGAACGCAGACGCAGACAAACGTTGACTCAGATGAGCGCAGACGCAGACAAACGTTGACTCAGATGAACGCAGACGCAGACAAACGTTGACTCAGATGAACGCAGACGCAGACAAACGTTGACTCAGATGAGCGCAGACGCAGACAAACGTTGACTCAGATGAACGCAGACGCAGACAAACGTTGACTCAGATGAGCGCAGACGCAGACGAGCGCAGACAGTGGGGTCACGGGCTCGTGGCCTTTAGCCCGGCTCAGTTTTTGCTCCAGAATTAAAAGAGAAATGAGATTCTGTTTTTGTATTTTAGGACCATTACGATTTTCTTTTGCTTTGTGACATTATTTCCATGATGAATTACCTCTTTAAATCCCACTTTAAATTCTCATCTGTAATGTCAAGAGAAGTTATTTAAAATGTAAAGTATTTCTACATCATTGTAGTATTTGTTGTACTGCCCTTTTTGATTGAATAAAAAGCTATTTTTTATTGTAATGCAGAACTACAATAATAAAACTAACGTCCAGGTCAGACTGAAGTGACAATTTGTGCTTAATTGTCACAAAATAATGCAAGCATGTAGGCTTGACTTTCTTTACTCGATGTAAGGTTTGATTTTGGGCAGAGATGATGACCTCTGACCCTGAGGCTAAGCTTCAGTCGGCAGTGAACTCTGGCGTGTTGCACTCGTTTACGGACGGAAAGATTTTAAGAGTCTGATTTAATTCAGTTATTTAGAAAAATGTAAAATAGTTCAGTTTGTAGTCTTAATCCTAAAAGATTTAATCCTTTTAAAGCAATTTATCAACGCGTGTTTTTTCACGTTTTAAAGGAACCGCTCACTCAAAACTGATCATTTACTCTCCTGTAGGACTGACTTCTGTGGAACATCAAATATGTTTTGAAGAACGTTGGGAACCAAATAAC